AATAATAATAATAATAATAATAATAATAATAATAATAATAATAATAAATAATTAATAATTAATAATAATAATAAACAACCCAATTCACTAAAACAAAATTGAATTCTGCCTTTTGCCCATTCTTTGCCTTTTTCAATTGTAAAATGTTCTTACTAGAGGTAGAACTAGATAGGATTATTAGTGTATTATTCAATAAATGGTTTTATTAAGAAGCTTAGCTATTTATTAATTTGATCTTATTTCTGAGGGGTCCTTGGTGGTCTCCGAGTTCGGTGCCACTGATGATCTTACCTAGAAATGGGTAATGAAATATCTGCAAGAAAACAACCAAGCTGAGAGACCACCAAGGACTCCTCATTTCAACCCTGAGCTACAAATATTCCCCTTTATTTATTAATAGAGGCGAAAAGCTAGTGATTATTATAGCAGAGTAAAGTGCAAGAACAGAATCTTTTGGGATTTCTTTCAACTTACCTCAGAGGAACCACAATTCTATCTTGGTTATATCTTGAAATGAGCCTTCTCTAGATATTACCTCCATCAATCTTTTAAGAAAGACTCATATTTAGTTTGGCCACTGAGCGCAACTTAACACCTTTAAAATGGTTTCTCCAGACTTTGGTTCCAAATTCTCAAGGACTTCAGAATTTCAACTTCCCATACAGGTAGTCCTCAACCTATGGCCACTATTGGGACCAACATTTCCATTACTAGGCAAGGTGGTTGTTAAGTGAGTTGCACCCAATTTTACTACCTGTTTTGCAACAGTCAAGTGAATCACACCGTCTTTAAGTGAATTCGGCTTTCCTCCATTGACTACTTGTCAGAAGCTGGCTGGGAAGGTTGCAGGTGATCACATGACCCCAGGGTGCTGCAACCATCATAACATGCTAGTTGCCAAGTGGCCAAATTTTGATCATGTGGCTGGGAGAATGCTGTGGTTGTAAATGCGGAGGACTAGTTGTAAGTCAGTTTTTTTCAGTTCTGTGGAAACTTCACTGAACAAATAGATGTAAGTTGAGGACTACTTGTGATCTTCGTGTAACATAACTCAAGAAGTTACTGAGCAGTTTATGTCATAAAAGACCATAGTCATTCTGCTTAAAAAACAATATATTTAAGAATATGAATTGAGTAAAAAAATATATTCTTTTTTGCTCTTTTTACTTTTACATATCTTTGTTTCAGAGAATCCTTCCAAATATTTATAATAATGTAAGTTATTAAAGATAAATATAAGTGTTGGCTTGCAGAAACTGCTGATGTTTGATCATTTAGAGCAGGGGTCCCCAACCACCGGGTCCCGGACCGGTACCGGTCCGTGGATCACTTTGTACCAGGCCGCAAAGAAATAAAAATAAAAATGGCTGCTTTCTTCGCCTTCGGTGAATGCTGCTGGGATCAGGGATCAAGAACACAAAGGAGAGAAGGAGAGGGAGGAAGCAACCAAAGCCTGTCCTGCTTCGGTTTCCTCCCGCCTCATTCCTCTCTCAGTCGCTCTCTCGCTCCTCCACCAGCCCAGGAAGAAACAGGGTGGCTTCCTGTCGGCGCAGCTCCTCCAAAGCGCCCGTTCACCCCCACACAGCCGCCCGCGGTTCAATCCAGTGCTCCGTTCTGCCTGCCTGCCTTCGTTTCTGGTTGTTTTGGAGCAGCTTTGGCTGAGAATAATAACTATTCGCCTCTTTTTCTCAGCCGAAGCTGTTCCGAAACAACCAGAAACGAAGGCAGGCAGGCAGAACGGAGCACTGGATTGAACCACGGGCGGCTGTGTGGGGGTGAACGGGCGCTTCGGAGGAGCTGCGCCGACAGGAAGCCACCCTGCCGGCTTCTTTGAAGCAGTTTCTTCCTGGGCTGGTGGAGGAGCGAGAGAGTGACTGAGAGAGGAACGAGGCAGACACCTGAGGGATGAGGCTGAGGGAGGCAGGGCCTCTCAGCCGTCCTGCAGGGACTTGTCCTGAGCCGCGGAGACAGCTACAGGCCGCCACCGCCCAGCGCTCAGTTTTGAAGGCGCTCCTCAGCCAGACGCAGTTCCTGAATCTGCAGCTGAAACCCTCCGTTTTAAATGTCCCAATAGAAGAGAATATCTGTCGCTCAGGGTTGCAATGAGGAGGCATTGCGCTCCCTGAACTTGGTGGTTTGCTGGCAGACGTTTTATTACCCGACTAGGTAACAAGATGTTACCTAGTCAGGTAATGAAACGTCTGCAAGCAAACCACCAAACTTGGACTCTCCCCCCCCCCCCCCCCTGGGTCCTTGAAAAAGTGTTTCTGCGTGAAACTGGTCCCTGGTACAAAAAAGGTTGGGGACCACTGATTTAGAGTTTAACAACTTTAGTTGTTTGTTGCCACTGTGCTTCTTCTCTTCAAGGTTCCTACTCCACTTTCAAGTGAATCACAGACTCCACTGACACCCTCAAGAACTACCGTGTCCCCAGTACATCAAGGGAACGTTTTTCAATCTCCTCCATCAAGTAGTAGTGCTGTTAATGTAAAAGCACCTCCTTTTCAGGCTATGCAGACTGTAAGTACAATATAATTAGATGTTAGACAACATGACAAAATATTGGCCATTTTTTTTTTTGGCAGCTCTTTTACAAAGAACAGATGGTCTTTATATAAGATAAGACAACAAAATCACATTTTGTTGAATAGACATTTCAGATAATCTTCGCTTAACAACCATTCAAAGTTATGATGGGCACCTTTCAAAAGGTACTTTTGACCTGGTTCCAGAGTTCTGATGACTGTGCGTGCATGCACACACACACACACACACACACACTGCAGTCATGTGATCATGTTTTGGTTATTTAGCAACTGGCTTGCATTTATTGCTATTTGCAGCATCTTGCAGTCATATGACTGATTTTTGGCATTTTTTTGCAGTTTCAATTATTACTTCCAATTTCTGGCCAAAACCGCCAATTGATTCATTTAATGACTGTCAGAAAAAATGTAAAATCAGCCACAGTTGTGTGGTAACCTGCTTAATGACTGCCACAATGTACAACCATCATTCTGGGCTCAATTACTATCATAACTGAGCTCAGTTATGGTTAGGAACTACCTGTAATCTATTTTTCACAATGTTTCATTTTAGAAGTTAGAACAGTAGTAAGTTAGAAATCCCAGCGTATATCTGTAGATGAAATTAAACATCGAAAATAAAAAGTGTGCAAGCTAGACATGAGACTTCCTGGAAGTTATAGAATATCTTTTTCATTTCTCCATGGCAAATTATTAACATTTCAGTTTCCCCTTTGAATTATATCTGTCTGCTTTGGAGCACTAAAAGCTGCTGCTTGGGTTTATATGAGGCCAACATAGTTAATAACCATGTGTCTTTTTTTGTAGGTGTTCAAAGTGAATGCACCTTTGCCACCTCGTAGAGAGCAGGATGCAAAAGAGAATTCTCTGCACCCCACAGGATACAGTCAGAATTTTTCAACAGCAAGCACACAGACGCCACCCCCATGTAAATTGCCATCCACTCAAAATGCGGAACAAACTACTTTTTCACAAGAGACTCTTTCAAATGGTAAGAATCTCAGTGTAAATCAGTAATTGAACTGATAATGCAAGATATGACCATGATTCTAAACTCATTTTGAACATTCCATAATATTTAACACACATTACTTTAAAAATGACAGAAAAACTTAAGTGTTCATATTTGGTTTTTTAGTCCTGTTAGAAAACCTTTCATTCATGGAGTCATCTTTTGAGAAGGTAGTGCAATCTGATGTGACCAGAACGGCCACTGAAAATTGGAAGCATTTCTATTACAAAACTTTAATTGTTTTCATTTGATTTGACTTCTTGAAGGAGGTTTATTTCTCAGCTGAATCATCCAACCTGGCCAAACTCTTCTGTCCTCCCTTATGTCCTCCAATCTCCACCTACATCTAAAAAGCTAGAAAATGTTCAGCTTCCTCCTCCTCCTCCTTCCCTGTAATCTCACTTATACTTCCCGTGGGAGTATAATTGGAGACATGTTGGAGCTTTTACTGCATAACAGTTTTCAATAACCTACCATGGCATCTTCTTTTTATCATTTCTACATTTCACACCCACACTCCATGCTCTGATTTTATTTGTGGTAGACCATGCGTTCCAATGAAAGATTTTGATTGTGCCTACTATGATTATATGGGCAAGGAGAGAGAGTAATAACTTGGTTGCAAAGCTATAAAAGTGTCCATTTTCTCCATTCCATTCGAGTCAAGATCAAGGGAAGTACTAATACCACTCTATAAATCCTTAGTAAGACCACACCTAGAGTACTGCATCCAGTTTTGGTCACCACATTATAAAAAAGATGTTGACACTCTAGATAAAGTACAGAGAAGAGCAACTAGGATGATGAGGGGACTGGAAGCTAAAATATACAACGAATGGTTGCAGGAACTGGGCTTGGCTAGTTTAGTAAAGAGAAGGACCAGGGGAGACATGATAGCGGTCTTCCAATATTTGAGGGGCTGCCACAGGGAGGAAGGGGTCAAGCTATTTTCTAAAACGCCTGTAGGCCAGACAAGGAATAATGGATGGAAACTGAACAAGGAGATATTTAACCTGGAAACAAGGAGAAACTTTCTGACAGTGAGAACAATCAACCAATGGAACAGCTTGCCCTCGGAAGTTGTGGGAGCGCCATCACTTGAGACTTTCAAGAGATTGGACTGCCATTTGTCAGAAATGGTGTAGGGTCTCCTGGTTGTGCGGGGGGTTGGACTAGATGACCTGCAAAGTCCCTTCCAACTCTGATTATCTGTATCTGTATCTGTATCAGTTCAAAACTTATAGTAGAATGTTCTCTTTTGAGAGGTAAATGTTCTGGACAGCTTTTGCATGATTCCAAATTATTTTTAGGTGCAGGTGATGTCTTCGTGGGAGCTAGGCAAAGGAAATGCCCACTTCTGAGATGTTGCTTTTGAGTACCTTGGTACTCTTCTCTACTGTTGGGAAAACGGAATGCTGAATTAGTTCCTTTGTCATTAGTAACAAATAGAGAGTGAATCATACCCATTTTGATGAGATGAATGGCAGAAAAACTTAAATGGCCAAGCTTGCTTTCTTAATGTCTTATTTTAATACATTGGTTTCTTTTTGTAACAAGAAGTGTTGGGTACATATCATTGTCTGTCTTAATACTGCTATGCCTCCAGACTGGCTAGTTTATGTTAAGTCCCAACTATTCAATCAAGTTTTAAATTCAACAAATTCATTTATGTTTAAACAACTATTAACAGTAGGTGATATTCCTGTGTGTTACAAGCAGAGTGCAAATAACTCTGAATAATAAAGGTTGAGGAAAAAGGTCAGGGATCACATCCTTTTCCTTTGCAGTAGCTTACAGGAGTATGTAAGATGTGTACTTCTCATCTTAAGCAGGTACTTGCCAGGCTGAGGTAGCTGTTCCTGTCAGCAATGGTACCCTCACTTTTTATGCAGCACAGACAGCCACTTTTCCTAGACCATCGCAGCCTTTTATCGGAAGCCGTGGATCTATCAGAGGTTCTCTCAGGGGTGTAAGATCGATGACTAATTCTTATCGCTCTCCTGGTGGATATAAAGGTAGGTTCCAGTTCTATGAAAATGCTGGTGTATCTTTTGATGTAGACCTATTTGTAGTCCCGTTCAGAAATGAATCCTGAAAGAATGATCATTAATTGTAGTTGAGATTCCATGGACTTACACCGTAGAATGTGCAATACAATTCTTATTGGACCAAGAACAATACTACTCCGAATAGCATGTCAAGGGCACATTGCAGAAAGGGGCATGATATACATACTTGAATTAGATTATATATAAATATTGTTTCAGCCTGTCACTTCCTCTTAGGCAAGAAATTGGGTCTGTTCTTTTGAATGACACAAGGTGTAGAGTATTGCAGTTCTCTAATAACAGGGGTCTGCAACCTTCTGGCTGAGGAATTCTGGGAGTTGAAATCCACAAGTCTTAAAAGTTGCCAAGGTTGGAGACCCCAGCTCTAATACACCAGTGGAGAAAGGCACATTTTTAGTATTTTAATGGAAATAAGTGTTTTACACCAAATTATGTTTTATTCCAGCAGGTTTTGAAGCTTACAGAGGATCGCCTTCAATCCCTAACGGAACCTATAGCCAATTACAGCTTCCTGGCAGAGATTACTCTACAGTGCAGTATTCTCAGAGGGTAATGATTTGACGAGCTTTGTTGCAGACCAGAAATGCTTTACTATAATTTGGCATCCTATATTCTGTGCAAAAGTCAAAATCAAGCATTAACTCGACATAAGGGATGATGCTTCATAAAACAGCATGCTATGACTAATCATTTAGTATGGCTAATATTAAGTGCTACCTAGAGCAAATAAATGGAGTATAAATAAATAATGGTAAAATATATCATAGTTCACACCTGGTTTGTATATCATATCCTATTGATGAATTTTAATTTGAGCTTTATATTTCTGAAATTTGTTCACATTGCCTATTTGACATCATACAGTTTTTCTTATAAATAATATATTTGAAAATAACCTCATCAATTAAGTATGCTGGAAAATCAGAAAAAGAATCGGCTGTAGTTGTAAAATTTACAGGCATATGATGTATCCTAATTAAACTAGTGCTAATTAAGGATATTGGACTGCAGATACTTGCCTGGTAGCAACAAACTTGATGCAGGAGATAGCACAGTTCCCTCCCATTCTACTATCCCACCAATTATGACATGGAAAATTCAAATGACGGTAAGAATGATGTTGCCCTTTACTAAATTTAGGCAAATGTTTATTTTCTAGGAAATGAATTACCAACCAAACTATAAGCGAGGAGGTATTAATAGTGGTCGAACTAATTCAAGAGGTACGTTTACTTTTAACATGATTTAAAATGTAAGACTCTTAAGCCACACTGCAGTGCTCAGGTTGCATTCCACTATGATTAATCATCCCAGCACACTATGGATTACGTGTATTGTTGTCTAAACAATCTAGTACAGACTCCATGTTCTTAGGCACTTTTATCTGATATATGCCTGGAAAGGAATCTGAGGCGCTTCTGAAGGACCCATTCAGTGCTGTTAAAAATATACAGTAATTGCATACTTAGGTACTAATTTTGAACAGTTAATGGGAATTTAAAACTTTTGCAAAGGTTCTTTTCATTAGAGTAGGGAGGAAAATGTCCATCCCCACCTTTCCTCAACAGGGATGACTGATGTTCTTAACTTTTTCTGCTCTTCTCTTCCTCTGAACCACTTCTGTCCAGATTGACATCTACATTTTGGTCTATGCCTGGAACAAATTGAGTCATTTTATTCAATGTTTGAATGCAAGCATTTAAAAAGTATCCATTTGGATTCAGACAATCTGAAATCAGATATTCCAGGCACAGAACATTTCGCCCATCTGTATTGGAGACTAAAAAACAGTCATTTTTTTCAGGCTATTGAAGAAAACATTTAATTCCAGTTTAACCATATCAACTTTATATAAAATATAAAATCCTTAAAGCTTCTATGTTTTAGGTTACAGGCAAGAAAACAGACAGGAAGAAAACTGCTCAGCAGGTAGAGCTCGAGGTAGAACACGTGGTAAAAAATACTTCAGAAGAAGGGAATTGAGAAAAACTGAGAAAAATGAGAAAGAAGCAGAGTCTGAAAACAATGTTGTAGTTGCCAAAGTGCACCAATTCAGTTAGTGCTGATTAACAATATAGTTGACAGATTGGTAACTTGGTTTTCTACACTAAATAAAAACACATTTTTAAAGATGCGTCTTTTCTTGGAAGTAAGAGCAATGCATCCTTATAAAATATATTTCCTATTGTATAATACAATATTTAAGCAGCTATGGTTAGTTGAGTGAGTAAGCAGCCACTATACATTCATGATAAAATATAAATACATGTAACATTGCAATTCTATCTATGGGTTTTTAGGCTTTCTGTTATGTATATCAATGGGTTGTAGTAATTTGGAGTAAACAGTTCAGTTTCTGTTTTTATCGTCAGAAGTTGTGAGAATCTTTAATTTGAAGAGCATCATATAACATGAAATAGTTCTGGAAATAAAATTTAATAACTTATAATATCTTAGCTGTCTCCAACCTGGTATCCTCCAAGTATGTTTTGGATGATAACTTTCAGAATTCCCCGAACATTTACAGGGCAACAGTTTGGGGAAAATAATATAGTTTTGATAACTATACAAACAGTTTTAATGGCAAATTTATATTTCTCCATGTGGTATTAAAGATACTGCAGATGTATTTAAGTCTCTGGTGTCTAGGATAGATTTAAATTATTTCAATGCTGAACCCATTGCAGAAGCATGTTCAATGCATATATCACCTCAGCTTTTAGAATAAAGGTTGAAAAACCTGTTTAAACATGCTGGATTGGAGCATGGCTTGTTTTTAATGAAATAATACTATTCTGAGACCCTGGATCTGCAAGGGGCTAATAAGTAAAGTAACAAGAGGCAATCAAAGGTGGCTAATTTTATCATTTAAATGGCAAAGGAAGACTTCCTAAAATCTCAACAAATATTGGAGCAGAGAAGCATGGTTAAAATTGGAAGTCAGGGAAAGTAAAACAACCTAGTAAACTGTAGGATATTCTCAAGTCATGGTTATACTTGTTAATTAACTGTTGAAGCCAGAGGTAACACAGTGTTATGTCTCTCAGCCTTAAAAAAACATACATTGTTCATATTGAAACCATATGTCTCCTTTTCACAATTTGAAGAACACAAATTTGTAAAAACTAGGGACGAACCAGTAACTGGCACTTGTCTAGATCAGCCTTCTCATACATGATGCCATCCATATTATGACTAGTTAATATGGGGAATTGTAGTTCCAACAGAATTGGAGATGCTCAGCTGGGGAAGGTTAATCTACTCTATAAATCTTGGCAAACTGAACTTTGAAGACTTCTAAAACCAGATTTCTTAATGGTTATGCTAGAACTAACAATTGCTCATGATCTCCAACAGCAGGATGGAACGATTCTTCTCAGGTGAGCAGTCCAGAGCGTGACAATGAGATGTTTAACACTGGGGAGACTGGGCAGGGTGATTCCCGCAGCATCACTCCTGTTGATATACCTGTGACAAGCCAAGCAGCCACCCTACTACCTGTTCACGTCTACCCCCTCCCACAGCAGATGAGAGTTGCCTTTTCTGCTGCTAGAACTTCTAACTTGGCTCCTGGAACTTTAGATCAACCCATCGTATTTGACCTCTTGTTAAACAATCTTGGCGAAACCTTTGATATACAACTTGGTAGGTTCAATTGTCCTGTTAATGGTACTTATGTATTCATATTCCATATGTTGAAGCTAGCTGTGAATGTACCATTATATGTGAACCTCATGAAAAATGAAGAGGTTTTAGTCTCTGCGTATGCCAATGATGGTGCTCCAGATCATGAGACTGCAAGCAACCATGCAGTCCTCCAGCTCTTTCAAGGAGACCAGATTTGGCTACGCCTTCATAGAGGAGCTATTTACGGAAGTAGTTGGAAATATTCTACCTTCTCAGGATATCTCCTGTATCAAGACTGAACATTAAGCTGCTCCAACTGTTTGGTGAAGGAAGGTGAAAACTGGTGGGCTAGTTTCACATTGCATACTGAACACTTAAACACGCCATTGTAAAGTGGGAAAATGGTGATCTTGCAATGAGTTGGAGTTGGATCAGCACTGATGTGGCACTTTATCAGTTGTGATATAGCCTTGATAGTAAAGCTCTGAATGTTATGTTTGCACTTACTCTTGAACTGTAATTTATCAGCTTACTATGCTACTCAAATTTGCCTCAAGTTTAGGCTATTCGCAACGCCTTGTGCCTAAATAAAACAAATTAATATGCCTTAGTATCAATGTCTGTGCTACTGTGATAATTTTGGGTCATATTAACTTTCTGGAGGGCTGTGAAGGCTTGGCTTATTCATCCGGGCGTTATGCTAGGATAGAAGCGAATAAATACAAGTGTGAATTTAGAGTCGGTGGGATAGTGCTGTGATTGAATTATATGGTGGTGGTGTGAGGTTTAATTGACCAGATTTCATTCTGTTTTTAATTGAACGTTATTTTGAGTTGCCAAGGTTTATCACATCAGATAGATGGCCACATACGTTTATAAATAAATAAAATAAGATTCCACTGGAAAAAGAAAACAGATCCACACTCAAGTTAGGAAGTATGTATGTTCCTTGCATGTGAAAAGTTGCAGATTTAATCCCCAAAGATCTAGTAGGAGGAAAAAATAGCAGATGATGGAGTTAGCTGGAGAATGACTACTAAAAATTAGATGGATCATCCCTCAATCTGTAACGCAACATCATTTTTATTTTTAAATGTTGAAAGCAAGTGGAATATTGAGACTAAGATTCATTTCCTATTTATGTAATTAGGTAGAAAATTTGAGTTCTCAACACAGCAGGAACACCTCTTGATTCCCAGGATTGGGAAACTAGCACCCTATATAGAAAACATCAGCTGCAAGCATCATCGTTTCTAAAACTGCTTCTGGCCTTGTATTTACCTGGCAATAGTTCAGTGCATAAGAGCTATACTTTACTGCCTTGGGGGAAAAAAGGTAAGTTAAGGTGGTAGCAGTGGGAGAAACCACCATATAAACCACCATATGGGCACTGACTGTCCATACTAACCATGGTGTGAGACCATAAGATGTTTCTCAAGTTCTAAGTGTCCAAAAAAGTTGGAAATCTTGAGTTTATTATAGTCTTTGTCTGTTCTAGTTTTGATGCCAGTGCTGCAGCAGAAAAAATAACCTACAGGTAACTAAATAAATGGGGAGATGGTAAACCTTTACACAAGCAGGAATGTTACATTTAATTTTATTAAACCATTAGTTCTGTTGGTCACTTTGCTTCAGATTTTACACCTTTGTTATAAAACTCTGTGTTGTTGGAAATGAGTGGCTGTGTCACTCAAGGTGTTTGTTAGGGACTGTTGCCCTTGGACATCTGAAGACTAAAGGCTTCAAGACCTGCACTATAGCCTCACCGTGGAACCACTCTGGAGATAATCACAATTGAGGACTTTATTTGAAACTACTTGAAGAGCAGATTGGAAGAATACCCGTAAGCAGAGATGGTAAATTCTCCTCTGCGTTCTCCAACTTTTCTCTACAACTTGGGTTCTGTTCTATTTTACATTCCTGGTATTGGTGTATAAGAACAACTACTAATCATCTAGAAAGTGCCTCTCTCTCTCTCTCTCTCTTTTTTAAAGTTCACATTTAATTTGACTCAGCATTTTATAAATTCTAAAAGGCCCTCCTATTTTTCCAAATGACAATTATGTTAGCTAGATTATTTGTAAAGCTTCCATCACAAGCTCTAGCCTTTTCTCTCTCTTCATCAAAGGATTCAGTTGGCCTATGTCCTGAAGGCACCTCCAGATCTTTTTGTGAATGTGTGCGGTATTGAAAAGCTTGCAAACATCTCAATATGGTGAGGTAATAAAACATTTTAAACTTGCTTTGTGTGTTACCCTTTTTTAACAAAATGAACAGGTTAATGAAAAAGCTATATTTGAATAAAAAGAAACATCTGAAATTGCCTATTTACTATGCAGTTTTTTTAAACGGGTTTTTTTTTCGTACAGTAACTTTTCTTGCAAACAGTTTTCTGTTATTAGCAATCCTATTGATAAAATCTTGTGGATTATTTCATTTGCAACTAGCAAATCCACAAAAGTTATTCCTGAATTATAGTTGTATGGAAATGTATCTGGCCCCTTTTGGATGTTCTGAATGTTTGCTTTCCTTTGCAATTGAATGTGATCAGGGCTTCATGTGGATCCATCTGATAAACAGAAAGTGAATTAAGAAATTTAAAAGTTAAGTACTTGTTTTATGTACTGTTTAAAGTCATTCAATCTGCAGCCCGTCACTGAAAATGTAGTTGTCTTCCTTTAACTTGTTGCATCACATTTAGCTGCGATAATGTTTTAAACAAATGGCCTCCTGTAATTGGAGATCAACCTCCTATATTGCTGTGTGGGAATATTGGCCAATTCCTCCATGGTGTACTGTTTTAATTCGGTAGAATTTTAGGATTTTCTAGTGGAACTGTTGCAATTCAATGGCATTTAGGCCTGGAACTTTGATTTAGCAACTCAAGAACACTGAGTTTTTTTTTTCTTTATCCATTCTCTTGCAGATTTGCTTGTATGTTTGGGATCGTTCTGTTGCTGCATGACCCACTTCACCTCAACTTTAGCTGTCAGAAAGATGG